GTAGTGGTCAGCGACGTACTTGACGTGCTGGACACGGCCGTCGGGCAGAGCCACCGAGTAATATCCCTGGGTGTTGTGGCCATCGCTCTCCTCCTTCTTGGCAAAGCTAGCTCCGGAGTAGTGGTCGTTGACAGCATAGTCGTAAGCGAAAGGCTTGGCTTCCTCCTTGTACTGGGGCTCCGGGTGGTAAGAAGCGGGCTTGTAAGACGGAGCAGGGTGGTAGGGGGCGGGCTTGTAAGACGGGGCCGGGTGGTGGGGCGCCGGCTTGTAGGACGGGGCAGGGTGGTAGGGGGCGGGCTTGTAGGAATGAGCAGGATGGTAGGGAGCCGGGGTCGGCTTGTAGGCCGGGGCCGGGTGGTAGGGCGCGGACTTGTAGGACGGAGCAGGATGGTAGGGAGCCGGGGTCGGCTTGTAGGCCGGGGCCGGGTGGTAAGGGGCTGGCTTGTAGGTCGGTGCCACGTGATGAGACGTCTTGTGCTCCGGGGCGGCCGCGGCAGCAGCCAGAACGGCGGCAATAATGAACACCTGTAATGCCATAACGATTATGTTACGGATATGCGAAAGTAATCTTAAATAATTTCTCAACGGCTTTACTACATTCGATTCGATATCGTTATTACATTAGGCTCTATTACAGTCGACACATGTAATGACCACATCTGTCATTCAATTCGCAGCTCACACCACAGAGCACTGAAAGCACATGTAAAAATACCGTGGTTTGTAAAACGCTGCCTTTCTCAAAGCCAACACAAATCCGTAGGCATTCGCCAAAAGTTAGGTTTTTCTGGTGTTGACAGTTTTGGTGACATTCATTTCGGTGCCCATTTGGGTTCGAGATACGTCGTTGTAAATGACGATTCCAGAGCCTGCACGGCAACTGCGGTGGAGTAATGTCATTTAGGGTTACCTCAGGTATACCTGGGCCATTTTTCCATGACTGTGATGTAGGGACGCTTGGCCATACTTAGTTTGGAGGGAAAATGCACGGTGCTTGCCGGGAAAGGACACAACAAACGTCCATTTTCAACATCAGCCTCATGGAAGAGACTCAATATGCACCAAAGACTATCCACACGACTGCTAGCTTTATGATTCCGTGACTACGTCAAACACATTGGCCCAATGCCGGTGGCAAATGGCTCCGTGGCAGCTACCAGCGCACTTGTCCAGCTGTATGCTTGGTGACACCTACCTTCATGCTGTGTGGTTTAGTGGCCGGGTACGCCGTGCAACTGGTGCAGATTCCCACAGTGTCTTTGCTTTTATAGGTCGGCCAAGACCAGATCTTGGCCTGAGGTCACGGCCCGCTGCGCCCAGTCATAGGCTGGCCCACACTGTTCTCCTGGTCGGACCGATGAATAAGCGCAGGACCCATGGCCACGCCCTTGGGCGCGCCCACTGCCACCGGCTTGAACCCGTGGCCGGAAGCTTAGAGCCAGCTCATAGGCGAGGCAGCTGCTCCACGAGCGGGGATGATGATAACAGTCTAGCTTCAGCGGGGGAAAACTGCGTATTTTAATCAATCGCGACAATGGGTAGCTTAATATATCCGCTGTAATACATTTCCCAAGACCGTGTGTTGTAGCCATCAGCGCCACTACACGGCTGGACTTATATTCGGGGATCATTGTGCTCCAAATGACAGGCTGTTTGAACGCCGCTTTCATGTCATGTTCAGTTTATCTGGTGAAGGATTCCGTCACAGTAGTTTTGATCAGGGGTTTGGTTGTTCGGAGGGACGTTGATAGTACATTCTCAGCGTGCGTTTCTTCCATTCATAGAGCGCATTTCTTCTCACATTATCCTAAGCCATACAGCTAACCCGTGACATTGGCAGAGAAAGAAGAGAAGGATATCGCATGGGAGATTGCTTCAAAGATCCGGACTAGAAATTGCTTTGCTTTTTATAGTAGTAGTCAAAGGTTATTGGGGAAAATTGTTTTTTAATTCCAACAAATCCAGAGCAGCTGACGCATTCCATTTTTGCGTGCGTTTCATTCCATGACGCATTCCAGTTTTTCTTCGACAGTGGTGCATTTTTGCAGAATATGCAGGAGGCAGAGCGATGGAAAATGGTTGTACACCCCTCACCCCCACCAAAAGCGTGTTTCGTCCGGCCGAAAGCGTCTTTTTCGTCCCTTATTGGACAGCCTTTTTCTCCAAATTGGGGGCTTTCCCTCCAGCTGAACAGGATTCCTCTGACCTTGAGCCGTGATGCAGTGAGCTAAAGCACAGCCCTGAGAGTTTGCCTCTGCGGTGTACTTACCTCCATTCGGCCCACGCCAATGTGAAAACGCGACAGATGTTCCAGCGGAGCGAGACAACTCCGGGCCAACATAAGGCTACCAAATAATTTCGGACAGTGGGCAGCAAATTCTTTGCATTTAACTTCAAAAACCATTCGCAGACAGCATCAGAGCGCAGTCGATGCTTGCGGCTGGGGGAGTATGACATGATTTGTAACGGAAGAAATGCTTTGTGAGGTAGACCAGCTCATGACGGTACCTTTGCACTGCGAACAAACTAACAAAGTCCACAACCTCTAAAAGTTACAGTACATACCTTATCGATGAGCCAGCAGCAGTTACTTTGCTCTGGGACCTCAACTGTTCCAGTTGTGTTCCGTGCATGTCCGTGCGGTTATCCGCAGAATTTAACTCAGTTATCTTGTCACTAAATAATGGCTGTTAGATTCTAGACGTCGCTGCGCGTGGTAGTGTTCATGATATTTATAACCATAGTCGTTTTCCTGATGCCCAGATTCCGGGTATATATATATATATATATATATATATATATATATATATATATATATATATATATATATATCAGTGAGTGTCGTGATGGAAAACCACGCTCGAACCTGACGTGGGAGGGGTGGGGGGAGATAAAGCATCATGAGCCGCCCACCCCTTGACTGTGCCGCTGCACAGGACCGATCCCCGTGAGGCACGAATCAGAAGTGAGGGACCAGCTCTTGCCGCCCACAATCCCTGACGTCATTGCCTGACTTACGGCGCACGCAAATGAGCATCCTTGCCTCTCATACAATAACGGTCTGAAAGCTACACGCTCGCGGCTTGATTCGTGCAGTGCTGTTGTTCGCATGGCAACCCGGCACTTCCTTGGTGTAGTGAAACCGGGCGCAGGCTGCACGAACTTTTACTTATGATTTCACCCACCGGATGGCGGGAGTATAGACTGGGTCTTTTGCTGCCCAGTGCCTGGGTGAAGCGCAGCTCACAGGCCTCCATTTTCCATTTTCCATTTCCATTTTCCATACGAACCATTTTCGTAGACAGGGTCTGAGTCGCTTGGTCTCGAGACTCATCTTACGATCATGACCAGATAACGCGGTGATAACAAGTCGCGGGATTGCACACGCTCGCCGGAGAAGCACCGTCATTCGCGATTCATTCATTCATTCATTCATTCTGTCATTCGCGACCGTTGTTAGAGAATGCTGATGACACGAACGCAATCACTGCTTTGTTGGGAATTTAATGTTTTGCACCGGTTAGCATATGTTTATACAGTGTCTGCTGACTGGAAGATACTGAACCCTTTATTTCGTCGACAATCAACAGGTCTTCCCCATAACTCGGTTGACTGTGCGTCTAATCTGTGGTCACTTTGTCTCCCATCACGCCCACCGAACCCCTGTGACCCATCGATGACGAACAATCTGCAACTGGACAGGTGGATCAAGCTTGCATACGCATCTGTGTCAGCCGGCAGCTCAGCAGCTTGGGTGGACGTGACGCCAGCAGCTCAGAACCTTAGGTGAACAAGGCGTCTGCAGCTCAACAGCTTGTGTGGACGTGGCGGCAGTAGCTCAATAGCTTGGGTGGACGTGGCGGCCGGCGGGCGTGATTTGCTCCCGGTTCTACCACCATGCGCACCTACTCCCATTTCCACTCGTGTGGGGTGGAGATGAGGGGGCACGTGGGTACAGGAAGGGAACAAAAGAGCGGTGTCCGAAACAGCGGACGGACGGGCGTGGTCTTTAAGATCCTACCGGGAGTTTCAAGGTCTCTTTGAGATCCCACCAGGAGTTTCAAGGTCTCCTTGAGATCATGCCGTGAGGTCTCCTCGAGACCTTATTGGGGCTTTCCTTAGAGATCCTGCTGGGAGGTCTGCTTGGGATTCTGCCAGGATGTCTCCATGAGATCCTGCCGGGAGGTCTCCTTGAGGCCCTATTTGGGGCTTCCCTGGAGATCCTGCTGGGAAGTCCCCTTGAGATCCTGTCGGGATGTCCGCTTGAAATCCTGTCCTAGATACCACGGTACGCGTACAAAGCGCCCAGCCTGGCAACAGTGTCCTGAACTGAGCGATCGGGAGGCCGGGCACATATCGGGATGGCTCTGTTCAGCGCACGACGTGGGATCAAGGCTGTTAAATTGGAAGTCGGTGTGAATGGCCGCTGCAAGCGGTGAGATCGCCGTATGTACAAAAACTGCAAAAGCTTAAACCCTTCATAGCACGTTAAAACGTCGCTTTCAAATAAAAACGGCTTTTTCATCCACAGTTTGCTCGCATCGGCTTTTAGAAGCACCTTAAAGATCTTAACAATCGGTGGCGTTCCCACAATTTTTGGGTAAATGGCAAACATGGATTGGATGGAAGGGATATACTAGGTGTGTAGCTGGAAATCTTCCACTAACCTTTTGCCATTTTCCATACATTGCGGAGAAGTCTTCGCATTTAGTTAGTTGTATTTTAAAATTGGCTGCAAATTGTCCTACCTGATCCCCCTCCCTCCCCCCCCCCCCCCCGCCTGCCTTTCCAGCGCCTCATGGCAACGCCCATGCAAGCAGCATCTTCCTGCTCCCAGTGCTAGTAACTGGGCGCAGCTGGCTTCATGTTGAGGCGCACGGCTGCGCAGGGCAATGATAATGGACGCTACTATCGTGCCCCGCCCGCCAGCCCTGACCGTTAACCGATGTGACCCCTCACCCCTCATCGGCCTCTGATTATACCAAACAAGGCGGCCGCGCTCACGGTGTGAAATCGCCCAGCGCGCTCATCAAACCGGCGGCGATTTTCGATACGCTCGGGCGCGCCCAGCCGCATCCTTGGCACAGAGACGGGTGCCGCGCCTGCCCCAGCCACAGCTCGGGTCCCACCCAGCCTGCGGACCTGAGCGGCGCCCAGTCAGGCGGAAAGGCCGACCTGGTCCACGGTCCGGGGAGCGCCTGCAGCCGCCACCTCTTCCGCAGCCGACCACGCCGGCCAGCCGTGTGTAACGCGCTCGGCAGCTACTGAAGGTGATCACCGATGGGAGGCCGACGGTGCCGTGCGTAGGTGACGAGCTTAAATGCCACCTGTTGGACACAGAGCGGCGCGCGAGGTTTTAAAAAAGCAACTACCAAAGGAGCTTTATCATTTTATCTTTCCTACGATGAGCAGAACGTTCTCAATACAATCAGCAAGAGCCAGTCTCGGGGCCAAGACAAGTGATAGCAGGCTCTCGGGAACGCAACTGTCAAGAAATCGTCTGGATCTTGGGTCGGCCGGCCGGCTCTGGCCCGATGAAGCGGCAGTGTCGCAAACAGTTTTTTATCCGCTGTCCACTCTCCCGATGTGTCTCACCACGCTCCCCTCGGGCTGACGGTTTATGGCCGGTGGAGGAGGCTGATCCTGCGTGGAGTGTGTGCGGGGGAGGAGAGGGGGTGTCACCCCTTCCCACCGGAACATGACAGGCGCGGGCGGCGGCGATCCCGCCTCGCACGCGCAATTGTGCTCCACATGTCCCAGCGGCGCGCCGCGATTCCACCGGGACACGACAGGCGCGGGCGGCGGCGATCCCGCCTCGCATGCACAATTGCGTTCCACGTGTCCCAGCGGCGCGCCGCGATTCCACCGGGACACGACAGGCGCGGGCGGGGGCGAACCCGCCTCAGCACGCGCAATTGCGTTCCACGTGTCCCAGCGGCGCACCGCGATTCCATCTGACCCAGTTAGCGGTGTGTGGCCGCGCCATGTTTGCAACGGCCGTGTCAGGGGACCTTCACCTACTGCCTTTTGACTGCGTCTCGTAAACAGGCAAACGGTGACGCCTCTATTAGGGTATGCATGAGGGAAATAACTTACTCTGACGAAAACAAGCCGGCTGCGGCCGCCGCCGGGGCAGAGAAAGCAGCCGGTCGGCCGACGCTTGCGCTAAGAAGAGGGGCCAGCGTGAATTGTTTCCTGCAGTGTTTACCGCGCGGCGGCGCTGGCAAAGGTGGCACGCCGAGTTTATGTGACCGTGACCGCAGTTACAGAGCATTAATGAGCCATTTACCTCCCACTGCAATCAAAACAACGCAGTCATAACCGTACATTGTGGCTTCTAACTCCGCATGGGACGCCGTCCCTTGGGGCTTTACAGGCGGTTTGATGAAACAAGGGGGAACTTAAGAGAAGCAGTGGTAAAAGTATGCCGCTGGTATTGGCACGCTGTCATATTACTTAATTATGCTGTCATTGACATCATCAGATTATCATCCGCTCCTGAGTGATCATCACTTCATCAAGCATTGATTGTTGCATAGCCAAGCATACCTGTGTAATTGGGTAATTTGTGCCGAATGGCCCCCTGCTATGGCCGCATATGAATGTTTCCATGCGTCGTTGCAGAGCCGCTGGGAGCATAAGGCATACCGATTGACCTAGAACATTTCCAGGTAATTCCCACAGCGTTGGGTCGCCAACTCATAGGAGACTAAATGGTCCATTATTGCCATTCAGAACTGTGCCTCATAATATCTCTCCCGTCAACAACACACATTCGTTTTTGTAAACGATTCGTGGTGAGTGAACAACAAGCGCCGAAGACAAAAACGTAGCAAAGTCAATGCCAACTGTCCAAGATTGTCACCACACTGGTTCGTGTGGTCCAGGTGAGTGCACCGACGGGTTCCATCCGCCCGCTTCCGGTCAAGCAAGGCTGAATGACACCGCTCAAGAAAAGGGTGGTACAACCAAACGCCCACCTTGACACATTACCATTGAGCCGTAAAAATGCAGCAATTAGAGTGTCCGCAACGACGCACTACGCATACACCATGACAAATGGTGGGTCAAAATGGGTGCACTGGCGTTGGATGGCGTCAGCTTATGACTCCTGTCGACCACACGCGTTCAGGCAACGTTTTATCAAAACTACCTGCCTCGGTCAGATTGTGGACAGAATGACCTTTGGAACTGGACCGGGCCTAGCACGTCTGGCACAATTGTGACTAGAAGGTGTCACATTGCAATTAGGTTTGTTACGTCACGCTGAATGTATCTTTATTCTTACTACATTAAACAAATGTGATGCATCTGCTTTAAAGCGCTGTCATGTATGGAAGTTCGTATCTCTTTGGGGGAAAAAGTCCCCAATGTTGCCCCTCCCTCCCCCAATAGCACGCCAACCCCGATGCTCAGACCACTGGGGGGGGGGGGGGGACTTAGCTTCATCCACAGCCCCTCTGTCTTCCAAATATGGGCTTCGCCCCCCACCCACCCCATACCTTTCGCGACGCTTCACCCTCGGCTCCTCCACCGAAACGCATGACACTAACGCATTTCATATCGTACATGTGAATCTTAACAGCGCCGTGATTTTGGCAGAAGCCTCAGTTGTCGATCTTTGACATATCTACCGAACCATTCGCTTGCTGCTTGGAGACAATCGTTCCGCGCCGCAGCCGAGAGCCGAAATGAACCGACCAGTGTTGGTTTTTTTCACTCCGGCTGATATTGATGGATGAGTTAGCTGAGCGCGTGAGCCGCTTCGTTCCATCAAGCTCGTCCTGTCGCGCACCCGCGTCCGTCATCCATCTCCGCGCATTACCCGACCGCGGCCGGCGCGGTGCCGGCGGCCGGCGGGTCGAGGTCGCCGCACCAGACGACCCGCCAGCGACCCCCGCCGCGCTGACCCCGACCCCGCGACGTCACCAGGCTCTGAGCGGATGACGTCAGCTCGGCCGACCGCGCCCGCGTCAGCGGGAGGGGCGGCGGCGCGCCCCGGCCACGGGGCGCAGGGTCGAGGTCGCCGCGGGCCGCGCCGCGAATAGCTCGGCCAATCGGTGTTTACGCGCGCGCGCGGGCGACGGACGCCGGCGTGGGAGCGGCCGCGCCCGGCAGGCGTATCGACCGGCTCCGCCTGATCGGAAGTGGCGGGCCAATGGCCCGCCGGCCGGCGGCGGTACGCTTCGGGCGCGGCCGCCACTTTCGATTGTTCTCGGCGGCGGCGCCGACCTTGGCGCCGCGCCGTCGGCTGCCCACGCGCGCCGCCGTCGGTGCCGATGATCATCGACGTCAGCGCCGGCCGTCGGCCCGCGCCACGAGCCGGGCGTTGGGGGGGGGGGGGGGACCGCCGCTGCCGCGGTCTAACCTCGCCGCGATCCAGGCTATGTCACCATTAATTACATGGCGGATTGGTGAAATAGATAGCTCAAGCGGATGGCTATCCATTCAGTACAATCAGGGTAGCGAAGCTAGATCGACGCAGTTCATCATTCAGCGGCCGGCGCTTGGCTAATGCTTTTCTTCACGACGGGAACGGCTATATCGGAGTTGATGAATACGGTGCACACGCCGTCCATCCCCTCTCACCAGCCGACCCGGCTGCTGCCCGCCGCTGGGGGACCTTCGGCGGGGTCATCGCACCGGACACCATGCGAAACGGAACTGGTCTCCGTTGTCAACAACGTCATGTCGGTGACCACTGGGACGTATCAGCGCCCTGACCCCGTCCCGCCCCCGCCCCCGGCCCCGCTGCAGGACGGGTCATTTCGCCGCGTGACGAGCCGTTGACGGTGCGCCCACGGCCGCCCTCACGTCAAGGATAGGAGCGCTGACCCGGCGTGAGAGCCACCGCCGGCACGCGGCCACGCCATCGATCGGAGGCATTGCCGGCTGTCGGACGAGACCCGGGAGGTCTGTCGACCGCACTGACGCCACCCCCTGCCCCTTCCCACTAACGATCACTTTCGGATCAGCCAAATATGTAAACACGTAAGCATCCAAAGGCATATGAAGTGGAGCCCTACGATAATATTAGTCTAGATAATAGATAATATTAGTATATCAACATTTCAAAACATATCTAAACCGTGGTCCTGTAGATAAGCATATCACTGTTTCTACTCCCAAGCAAATATCTATAGGCAGATAAAGCTGATCTGCTGCAGCTTTGATAGACGTGGAGGCTGGCACGGCCGAGTGATCAACGGCCACTATGGTCAGGTGTCCAGTGGCAGCCTCCGGCTTTCAAGTATGAAGCATTTGAAAAGAATGAATCCTGGTAGCAGGCCTATGACAGGTAAGAGTGTCAAATGTATATGTTTATAGTTAATTCATCTTACAACGAAATATTGTTACAATTCAAAAGAAGCTCGGCCCCTAGCCAGTTCGGCGTCGTGAGAAAATGCTTACAGAATGTTTGCCCTCCGGTCATGCCATATTCCGCTGCGTTACTCCCATGGCGACATTGGAGCTTACTAAGCTTCCTGGCAATAGCATGTGGATTGTGGTACTTAGCACACCTCATTAATGCCGTCTTGTAACCACGCAAGAACAGCTCGAAACAAGGCAGGTAGAGTGGTGTGTAAATTCTCCACTCTGGTTCACACAGGGAAGGCATTCATGACGTGAAGCAACAATGTGGTCGCTGATGGATACCGAAATGTTCCTTTGAACACACGCAACAACGCCGGACGATGCGGACCCGCTTTACCATCCGGCGGTATCGGAGACGATTTCCCGTCCACTGCGCACAGGCATCCGTCATCGGCGACAGACAGCGAAACGCGTCCCCTTGTCGCTCGCGCGGAATGGCGGAGACGCGCGGCTCGCCGGTCCAGAAGGCTTCCATCCGACGCCGAAGCTGGACGCTTCGGCGGCAGCCGGCAGCCCAGCTCGCCGGGCGGCAGCTCGCTCCGGCAGCCAGCTCGCCGGGCGGCAGCTCGCGGAGACGGCAGCTTCGCAGAGACGACAGCCCAGCTCGCCGGACGGCAAGCTCGCAGCTCGCCGGGCGACAGCTAGCAGAGACGACAGCCCGTAGCTCGCCGGGCGGCAGCTCGCAGAGACGACAGCTCGCAGCTCGCCGGGCGGCAGCTCGCAGAGACGACAGCTCGCAGCTCGCCGGGCGGCAGCTCG